TTTCGAGCTCCTCCTTCTCGAAGTTGGTGTGGATGGTGGAGCTGGTCTTCCCCAAATCCACTACGGCTTCATGATCGTTACCCTGCGCAGCAGAACAGAGAGAGCAGAGAGATGAGAGTCTGTCTGTGGGGCTACACAGCAGAGCACTGACCCACGGTGAGGTCAGTGGGCAGAACCAGCAGAGTTCTGCTCCAAACACACACTGTGTCAGTGTGGCAGTAGTGGCTGTTCCATCAACCAGTTTTCTGCAAATTTTGAAAATGAGTATAAAAAACCTGAAAAGCCTGAAAAAAACACCCAAAAAGATTTCTACGCTAGGACCTGAAACACTGTAGCAAGCACCTAGTTACAAACAACTTGGATACCTTAGCAACCACTTAGCAACCCCCTAGGAATCACCTGAAACACTGTAGCAACCACCTGGTTACAAACAACTTGGATACCTTGGCAACCACTTAGCAACCTCCTAGCAATCACCTGAAACACTGTAGCAACCACCTGGTTACAAACAACTTGGATACCTTAGCAACCACTTAGCAACCCCCTAGCAACCACCTGAAACACTATAGCAACCACCCAATTACCAAAACTTGTCAAAAAAAATCCAAATATCACAAAAAGATTTTTACGCTACGACGAGATGGAAAAGTTAGAATATCACCAAAGCTGAAATGCGTAAAAAACTGCTGGAAAAGTTTTTTTCAAATAAACGATGACATATCGAGCCGTAATTCCATGATTCCCACAGACGGTCCGAACGCAGGGCAGAGCTTTTCCAAGGTTTTTTTCGACATTCTCAGAAAACCGCTGATACACCTGAACCACATGCATCACTCACCTCACTGAGCTTTCAATGAGAACTTCATGTTATTTAAACTGAAACTAATTTTTCACAAACAAATGCCTTTATTATACGCCGAGGCTCATCTATCAGTGGAACGCTGGGCGGTGCGCGTTATGGTGAGCACCATCACAGTGATTCACCATCACAGTGATTCACCATCACAGTGATTCACCATCATCCCTGCCAAGAATGATGTTTGTTTGATTTCAGCAAATCAGCAGTAATTGTACACTAAACTACCTGCATGTGTTCTCTGTAGAGGACGTGTTTACTTATTCACACTCCACAAAACACGGAATCCGAGCTCCGCTTGGTTTCTCACCGTGGGTACATCAGTAAAAGCGAAAACCGCCTCATCCCCGGCCGGAGCCGAGGCAGAAGGTCAGGAGTGACCTCACCCTGCTGGAGCTCTCCATCTGTATCAGTGGAGTTTACGAGGATCTGGCAGAGTCAGAGTGTGACGAACTGAACGCTGGCGCAGGAGAGACTCGGCGCCGCCAGCGTGGAGACTGAAAACACACAGCGGTTCGGTTTACCAGCGACGAGCTGAGGCGGGAGGCTCGGGTCTCCCTGGAGCCTCTCAGACACTCAGAGGAACGTTAAAGAGCCTTAAACGAGCTCATGGGAACCAAACAGACTCTCCGTAGCTGTGAGACAGTCAGTCTCGGAGCTCAGAGACAGACGCAGAGCTCCGTCTCAATGAGGCAGCAAGAGCCAAATAAAACGCTGCGGAGCACCGAACAGGCCTCTGCTCTCTGAACTGGACCTGGCCTTCCATAAATGGTCAACATCTCCACAGGCTTTCCTCACAAAGGGACTGCACACGGCACGAGACGGAGCACGGCGCCTTCAGAGCGGCTACACGAAGGACCAACCAAAACACAGACGCCAACCTGCAAAAACACACAGATCACAACTCGGAGCAAAGACGATCTGACCTCTGTTTGATTGTCAGTCTGTAACGTGGAGACGAGAAGTTATTTCAGGACTCCAGACCAACTATTTTACTGAACTGAACAGGGCTGAGAGATCAACTGCTCTTATATCGAATCGCAACAGAGGGACATACTAAATACTACAGCGTTCTACCTTTAAAGCATTTATGCTGATAATTACAGCTGGGCCAAAAACGTTATCACGATAAACCAAATTCATATCGTTCGATATCGATACGTATCGCGATAAATGTCAAATCATTATGTCGTTCAAGTTTGAAGGCTGGTTTTTGGTCCTGGGGGGTTAATCGCTGTTTTAAACTATCCTTTATGGTCTGAACACGACAAACACTCAAACAGTGGATCATTTCACAGATCTGTCGTGGAGAGTGGGAGAGAGTGTCTGCTGAGCTGTTTTATCAGCTGGAAAAGCTCAGCCGCAGTTTCTGCAATAGTGATAATTTCATAATAGTCACAAAGAAAGAAAACAGATTATTTTAGCTGGTGCCGAGCGCTCGGCTACCCCGCTACACACAACATCACAGTATTCAGACACCAGCTAGACGACTGGACTTCTCTATAGTATTGCAGTAGTTTAAGGGGTGAACCGCAAAATATCAACACCAGACAAACAGAGTCCGACTTTAGGTACGTTTAAACTGAAAGCGGTGCTTTTGTGTCGTGTTTGATCTACAGTATCATCAGTTCTCCGTGTTGTGTGAGTGATGGAGCTGCTTCAAGTTAGCCAGCTGCTAAAAACAGCTAGCCTGGGAAACTAGCGCTCTCCCGCTCTCCAACGCCTCACAGCTGTGAGGAAAGAGGTGAGGTCACTGTAGGTCAGTACAGTTACACCACTGACCTCGTCACTCACACTCGGTCACAGGAGAGCAGATCGCCGGCCGCTCCACTCAAACAGGGAATGTAACTCCGCGTTTCAGCCGTTGCTAAAGACTCATCTTCCTCGTGGCCCCCTCCCTCTCCAATCACGTAGAAAAACTCGGAAGTGCGCCCTCTCCTGGCGACAGCAGAGTAGTGTCGCTTTCGTTGCAGTAGAAAACGCCACCAAGGCCTTCGCTGAACGTGGAAGTGTGAGGGTGGTGTATTATATCGAACATGCCGTGTCGCTCTATCAAGGAAAAGTTATATCGCAATAATGATCGTTATCATTTTATCGCCCAGCCCTACTGATAACAGAATTTGTAATGAAAACCTTGTATTAAATTAGAAATGGAGACAAAACAGAAACCTTTCCACCAGCGCTCTCAGACTTTAGGACCTCACTATTTATTAATAACAGGATTATTACATATTAATACTGGAATGTCGCTGCTTTTCACAACCGGCATGCACTGTACTGTAATGGGCTGTAATTACAGTCATTTTTATACAGTAATTATAAATAATTGTTAACACTTTCAAATAAGAACAGAGCACGATCATCACTGTGCTCTGGAACCTCACCTGGCTCTGAAAGCGTTGAACATATGAGTGCTAAGTGGCCGTCGGCTGTTCACTGAGCCGGACTCGCATGACAGAACCTTCCTCTCTTTAAAGATCTGACAGGTCAAGATAAGACTTTACACTAATGCGTGTTACAGAACCAAATCTGATCTTAATTTAGGAATTTTATCTGATCTGACAGCATCTTATCTCCAGTTAGGAAATCTTAACCTGCTCAATTGAAGTGGACAATCAGCTGTCATGTCTGTTGCCTAGCAACCGACAATAAACACACGCAGCTGAAACGTAAAACACGTCATCAGAATAATGTTAAAATGTGAGTTAAGCTGCTGTAAAAAAGGTCAAACAGAACTAAAGTGTGATAAACTTGTTATTTGTGAATACTGTGAGAGCGCCCCCTGCTGTTTATCAGAGCATCGCCGCTCCCCAGTTTCAGTCTCCATTCCCCTCCTCCCCACAGCTCAGGGGTCAACAACATGCGTCTCCTTTACTGCCCTGTTGCTCCACAGCTGAATCAGATCAGTAGGTAAAAATAAAATAATCCTCCTTTACAGTAAAATAAAGCTCTGCTGATCGTTCAACACAGTTTAACTATAAATGGTCTTAAACTCTGGAGTTAATGTAGAACTGCTGATTCACCCTTTAACCCTGAAGATCAGCGCAGACTGCTGGTCACCATAGCAACACAGACAACAGTCTCGCCTAGCTAGTAGCTAACGAAACGGCAAAGAGAGAGATTTAAGATGAACATCGATAATTTAGAGACGAATGGACTGATTAGTGTTTATAATCACTCCAGCTGGTTTCCTGATACGTTTAATCTGCAGTGAGAAACTCAAACACTAAAAAGTCACGAAGCTCAAATCAGTTCCTCAAACGAATTGTCCCGTTCTACCTTAAACGGTGCAGAAGTTACATTGTGGCAACTCAGGTCACCATTTAAGGTGGAACGGGAAAATTGGAGCAAGAAGCTGCTGAATGAGAAGCGACTTCAGCCTCATAAAAGTTGAACGTTGAGAGACATTTTGCAAGAAACTGTTCAACTTCTGAGGAAAAGTTTCCTGCTGGAGATGTGAGAAAAGCAGCTGTAGCTGAGCTGAAGATTAAAGCAGAGCAAAGTGAGTCTGAGTTTTTGTTTATATCATATTTTTAGTCTATATTAGTTCATCAGCACATACTGAGACACATTTACAGCCAAGATGGTAAAATGGACATAAATGTTTTGGCTCCCAAAGTGGTTTGATTTTTGTTGAAAGGACAAAATGGCTTTTCTTAACATTTGGGTTGTGACCCCTGACCTAGATGATATGTTGTGTTTGGATGTTGTTGTGCTGGTCAACCAGTCTGACCATGCTGGGTGTCCAGCTAAACCAGCAAGGAGTTCATGTGCTACTTCCTCAGCAGGGCAGGAGATACAAACACCATTTATCAAATTATTAATAACAGAACAGGAAAAATGGTTCCAGCGTCTGTACCTGTTGATCAGACACTGACCCGCCCATACTCCCTCCTGATTGGTCGACCCTGATTCATCTCCCCCTCAGAGAGAACGTTAGAGCTGAATCCAGCCTGAGGGAACGTCTGGGGACAGATCAGTTCTCATCATCACACAGAACCGGGCGGAATGAGGTCTGTTTTTCCACTTAAGGATCAGTTATTTCTGCCAGGCCCAGCCGGACCCTCTGTGAGAGAGCGCTCGGGTGGGCTCTGCGCTGCACTGTGTGATGGAGCTCCATCTCCACAGCTTGTTTGTTTAAAGCCCCATGACAATACTCCAATTCCCATCATCCCTGGCTGCCCGGAGGAAGGCCAGGCACAAAGTCGGAGCACCGCAGGGATCTG